TGAAAACTTTTAACCTATTCACGTATATGCGGTAAATATAGTGGTATAATGTATTGAAAATACATAATATGAAGACTGCTGTATCAAATCATTTAGGATTTAAATTTTTAAATTATTATGCAGCAATTTGTTTTTTTTTTTTTTTTTTCGATAATCTGACTAGGAATTAGAATTTTAGGTAGATAGTGGATTTCCCGGATCGGTACCTAATGCTTAACTCCGGAGATTGGAAAAATCATTATGGTTATTATTAAATTTAAGTTCATATAACTCAAAAGTTTTGAATAATTATTTCATTTAAGGGCGAGAATTTTCGTCGCATTAAAGTTATCAGCGTGCTATCGTCTATTAAATTCTCACATATACGCTGTATAGGTAACCTTTTACTTATATTTCTATGTGTCTGTGAGATTTAAATACACGAATCCTGAAAGTGCCTCTGCACACTGGACAATTTCTTATTGAGGGACAAGTTTCAAACACGGACTTTGTAGTTTATTAGTAAATTTAATCTTACTTTCGTACTTTATCTAACGATAAATGACGCGAAAAACACTCTTTCCAATCATTTGGAATTTACATTTTTTCGAAAATTTGATTAGGAATTAGAATTTTAGGTAGATAGTGGATTTACCCGATTGATTCTTATTTCTTAATTCCAGAGATTGGAAAAATTTTATATGTTTATTCATAAATCTATGTTCAAATAATTCAAAAGTATTGAATAATTTGTTTATTTAAGTGCGATTATTTTCGTCTATTAAATTCTTACATTTACACCGTATAGGTAACTTATTACTTATATTTCTATGTGTCTGTGAAAAATAAATACAAGAATCCCGAAAGTACCTCTGCACACTGATCCGTTTCTTATTGAGGGACAATTTCCGAACGTGGATTTTGTAGTTCATTAGTATATTGAATTATATTTTCTTGTCCTATCTAACGATAAATGACTCGAAAAACACTGTTTTCAATCATTAGGAATATGCATTATTTCAATTATCGGACTAGGAATTAGAATTTTAGGTAGATAGTGGACTTACCTGATTGATTCTTATTTCTTAATTCCAGAGATTGGAAAAATTTTATATGTTTATTCATAAATCTATGTTCAAATAATTCAAAAGTATTGAATAATTTGTTTATTTAAGTGCGATTATTTTCGTCTATTAAATTCTTACATTTACACCGTATAGGTAACTTATTACTTATATTTCTATGTGTCTGTGAAAAATAAATACAAGAATCCCGAAAGTACCTCTGCACACTGATCCGTTTCTTATTGAGGGACAATTTCCGAACGTGGATTTTGTAGTTCATTAGTATATTGAATTATATTTTCTTGTCCTATCTAACGATAAATGACTCGAAAAACACTGTTTTCAATCATTAGGAATATACATTATTTCAATTATCGGACTAGGAATTAGAATTTTAGGTAGATAGTGGATTTACCTGATTGATTCTTAATTCCGGAGATTGGAAAAAGTCGATATGTTTATTAATAAATGTATGTTAAAAAAATTTAAAAGTATTAAATAATTTTTTCAT